CAACTGCTCTTTCCCTGCTTAAGAAAAGCATCCTCATAACATGAAACTGCCACCACCATGTTTCACGGTGGGGATGGTGTGTTCAGGATGATGTGCAGTGTTATTTTTCCGCAACACACTGTGTTTTGCTTTTAGGCCAAAAGTTCAATTTTGGTCTCATCTGACCAGGGCACCTTCTTCCACATGTTTGCTGTGTCCCCCACATGACTTCCATAAAGCTGCAAACAGGACTTCTTATGGCTTTCTTTCAACAATGGCTTTCTTCTTGCCACTCTTCCATTAAGGCCAGATTTGTGGAGTACACAACTGATAGTTGTCCTGTGGACAGATTCTCCCACCTGAGCTGTGGATCTCTGCAGCTCCTCCAGAGTTACCATGGGCCTCGTGGCTGCTTCTCTGATTAATGATCTCCTTGCCCGGCCTGGCAGTTTAGGTGGATGGCCATGTCTTGGTAGGTTTGCAGTTGTGCCATACGCCTTTCATTTTCAAATGATGGATTGAACAGTGCTCCATGAGATGTTCAAAACTTTTTTTTTATAACCTAACTCTGCTTTAAATTATCCACAACTTTGTCCCTGACCTGTCTGGTATGTTCCTTGGCCTTCATGATGCTGTTTGTTCACTAATGTTCTCTAACAAACCTCTGAGGGCTTCACAGAACAGCTGTATTTATACTGAGATTAAATGGCACACAGGTGGACTCTACTAATTAGTTGACTTCTGAAGGCAATAGGTTCCACTAGATTTTAGTTAGGGGTATAAGAGTAAAGGGGGCTGAATACAAATGCCACCACACTTTTCACATATTTATTTGTAAAAAAAATTTGAAAACCATTTATCATTTTCCTTCCACTTCACAATTATGTGCCACTTTTTGTTGGTCTATCATATAAAATCCCAACAAAACACATTTATGTTTTTGGTTGTAACATGACAAAATGTGGAAAATTTCAAGGGGTATGAATACTTTTTCAAGGCACTGTATTTATATAGCTCTGACATACAGTACACCTGTAGTGCTGTACAGTGTACACTGATCCAGGGGGGGGGCAATAATAAATATTAGGGGTATTCAGAGACACTCGGGCTCAGTATAGTGGAGGGATATCCTTGTCATCAGTGGGCTGATAATTGTTCGGATGGTTCCCTCGCAGTCACACAGAGTGGAGATGGCTCTGCGAATCTTTCAGTTCCTGAAATGATGCCGTGATAATAATTTTCATAACATAATTACACCACAACAGAGCGAATTCACCGGGAGGAATCAGCATGTATTGCCATAATGAAAGTTTTACTGGTTTAATCAAGTTTCTTCTGTGACCTCAGAAAGAGGCGTTCAGTCTACAAACTCCATCCTCATTTACAGGTCGCCCCCCCTCACCGTTCACGAAAGATCCACGGGACATTAGTGAGACATTAGGCAAGATATACATTTTATTGCATTTTGCCGTAACTCCAGATATAAACATTTTGTATAATTTATCTGTAGTCAGTTTTGATATGACACTCTTTTTACATTGCTCCCCCTGGTGGTTCTGCTTGTACACTACATGGCCAATGTTTGTGAACACCTGACCGTCACACCAATAGTTTGGCCAGATGTACATGACCTCCGTCACGATTATGGAGTTCAGCTATTTTCACACTATTGTGGCTCTGTGAGTCGGGTTTGCTCTGGCAGGACAGCTCATTTGAATGGGTTGCTGTGCCTAAGTTTCATGCAGGAAAAAGGTTCTCGCACCCACAACCACCCGCAATAGTGTGAACCTAGCCTTCAGCTGTCTCCAGTGAAGGGTACTGTAATGGTACATTATACTAAGACATTGTAGACAACTGTGCTCTTCTAACCTTCTGGTAACAGTTTGGTGAAGACCCTTTTTTGTTCCACCATCTGTACAAAGCTAGCTCCATAAAGACATGGTGTGACCAGTTTGGTGTGGAGGAACTCAAGTGTTCTGTACAAGGGCCTGACCTCAACTCCACTAAACACCTTGGGGATGAATTGGAAAACCAATGGTGAGCCAGGTCTTCTCATCCAACATCAGTATCTGACCTCACAAATGGACACAAATTCCCACAGACACCCTCCAAAATCTTGTGGAAAGTCTTCCTAGAAGAGTGGAGGATGGTAAAGCCACAAAGGGGGCAACTCCATATTAACTGGACATAGGAGGAAGGGCAACTCTATTTTAATGGTCACTGGGGGAGGGGGCAACACCATATTAATGTCCATGGGGTGAGTTGGGCAACTTCATATTAATGGTCATGGGGGGAGGGGAGCAACTCCCTATTAATGACCATGGGGGGGGGGAGGGGTAAACTCCATATTAATGGCCATGGGGGGGAGGAGGGGGCAACTCCATATTAATGATCATGGGGAGAGAAGGAAACTCCACATTACGGCCATGGGGGATGGCGTAACTCTATTAATGACCATTGGGGAGGGGGCAACTCCATAATAATGGCAATGGGAGAGGGGAAAAACTTTGTATTAATGGCTGTGGGGAGGGGGGGCAACTCCAAATAATGACCATGAGGGAGCCTGGCAAATCCATAATAATTGCAGTGGGGATAGGGGGCAACTCCATATTAATGACCATGGGGGAAGGGGGCAACTCCATATTAATGACCATGGGGGAAGGGGGCAACTCCATATTAATGACCATGGGGGAAGGGGGCAACTCCATTTTAATGACCATGGGGGAAGGGGGCAACTCCATATTAATGTCCATGGGGGAAGGGGGCAACTCCATATTAATGACCATGGGGGAAGGGGGCAACTCCATTTTTATTAATGACCATGGGGGAAGGGGGCAACTCCATTTTAATGACCATGGGGGAAGGGGGCAACTCCATTTTAATGACCATGGGGGAAGGGGGGGGCAACTCCATATTAATGACCATGGGGGAAAGGGGCAACTCCATATTATTAGTGACTGCTGAGATTACAGGATAAACCACATCCTACATCTGCAGCTTTCAATCAGTGCTGAATCAAAGCTGAACTCTGAGAAAGAGACAAAATATACCCTTGGACCTGGATCCCCACTGCAAGGGTTAAAGGATGGTCACTGGGGGAGGGGGGGCAACACCATATTAATGACCATGGGGTGAGTTGGGCAACTTCATATTAATGGTCATGGGGGGAGGGGAGCAACTCCATATTAATGACCATGGGGGGAGGGGTAAACTCCATATTAATGGCCATGGGGGGGAGGAGGGGGCAACTCCATATTAATGATCATGGGGAGAGAAGGAAACTCCACATTACAGCCATGGGGGAGGGAGTAACTCTATTAATGACCATTGGGGAGGGGGCAACTCAATAATAATGGTAATGGGAGAGGGGAACAACTCTACATTAATGGCTGTGGGGAGAGGGGGGCAACTCCAAATAATGACCATGAGGGAGCCAAGGCAAATCCATAATAATTGCAATGGGGATAGGGGGCAACTCCATATTAATGACCATGGGGGAAGGGGTCAACTCCATATTAATGACCATGGGGGGAGGGGGCAACTCCATATTAATGACCATGGGGGGGGGGGCAACTCCATATTAATGACCATGGGGGGGGGGGGCAACTCCATATTAATGACCATGGGGGGGGGGGGCAACTCCATATTAATGACCATGGGGGGGGCAACTCCATATTAATGACCATGGGGGAAAGAGGCAACTCCATATTGATGACAATGGGGGGAGGGGGCAACCCCATATTAATGATCATGGGGGGGAAGTGGCAGCTCCCTATTATTGGCCATGGGGGGAAGGGCAACGTCATATTATTCACCATAGGGGGAGAGCCAACTCCATATCATTGGCCATGGTTTTGGAATAGAAGAACGAGCTCATGTGGGAGTGACGACAGATTTCCACTATACAGTGTATTTGTATAGATATACAATTTCTATCAGTCTATTGAGTGACTGCTGAGATTACAGGATAAACCACATCCTACATCTGCAGCTTTCAATCAGTGCTGAATCAAAGCTGAACTCTGAGAATGAGATATACCCTTGGACCCGGATCCCCACTGCAAGGGTTAAAGGATGGTTCAGTTCAGGGGTGCAGGGATAAAGTGTATTGTGTACCCGGTTAGGCTCCAATGCTGGGAGCTCTGGGGATGGGGGTGGTCCCTTGCCATCATCAGGCACAATGCGGGGCTATTATCCTGCATTGTACATGAGGAGGCAAGCCGTGGATGCTGCAGGGGATCGAGGAAGCCTGCTGGAGCACCTTATCCCTGCACCCCTAAACTAAATGAGCATTTAACCCTTGCAGTCCAGTGGACTCCACTGCTAGGGTGGATTTTGTCTCATTCTCAGCATTCAGCTTATGTAAATTAAGAGAAATGGCAAAGCAAAATCTCCAGAGGGCTACTAAGAGGGAGGCGGAGCCTACATATTTATTGGGTAAACACAGAGGCCCCCACACCAAAATAACTGAAGAGAGAATAAATGTATAGAGTCATCTGGCCTGTAATCTTGATTTGAACAGACCAAAAAAAAAGTTGAACTCAGAACGAACGGGCTGCATGCAGCCTAAATTTCGAACAGCACTTTTTTTCTACTCTCTTACCACCTTTCCCTGCTTATAATGTCATCTCTTCCTGTGGTCATGCCTCCTGCACTAACTAATACAATCTGGGGAGATGCCTGCCCCTTCTCTGTTGGTGTTTTTTGGTTTAACTCTCACCACCCATTGATGCAACCAATGCATTGTCACCCCCCCCCCCATCCACCTTTCCTTCTGAAATGATAATGATTGGTCAGAGATTTTCCCACAAGGTGCAACACCCTATGCAGCTTCAGATATTCATAAATGCTCAACATCGCCCCCTAGAGGGATCTGTACGTGTCCTCATAGTTACATTGTATCATTGCCAGAGTCAAGACTCGCTGGGGTAGATTTACTAACCCTCGGTTCACATCTGTGTGGGTGGTGCCGCTGCGGGACCCCACACAAATACCTAGAGCCGCACCACCCATACAGAGGAATGCGGGACCCGCACAAGTACCTGCAGCCGCACCACCGGCACAGAGGAATGCGGGACCCGCACAAGTACCTGCAGCCGCACCACCCATACAGAGCAATGCGCGGGACCCTCACAAGTACCTGCAGCTGCACCACCCACACAGAGGAATGCGGGACACTCACAAATACCTACAGCCGCACCACCCATATGGAGGAATGCGGGACACTCACAAATATCTGCAGCCGCACCACCGGCACAGAGGAATGCGGGACCCACACAAGTACATGCAGCCGCACCACCCATATGGAGGAATGCGGGACACTCACAAATACCTGCAGCAGCACCACCGGCACAGAGGAATGCGGGACCCTCACAAATACCTGCAGCCGCACCACCCGCACAGAGGAATGCAGGACCTCACAAATACCTGCAGCCGCACCACCCATACAGAGGAATGCGGGACCCTCACAAATACCTGCAGCCGCACCACCCACAGAGGAATGCGGGACCCTCACAAATACCTGCAGCCGCACCACCCACACATAGGAATATGGGACCCGCACAAATACCTGCAGCCGCACCACCCACACAGAGGAATGCAGGACCCACACAAATACCTGCAGCCGCACCACCCACACATAGGAATATGGGACCCGCACAAATACATGCAGCCGCACCACCCGCACAGAGGAATGCAGGACCCACACAAATACCTGCAGCCACACCACCCACAGAGGAATGCAGGACCCGCACAAATACCTGCAGCCGCACCACTCACACAGAGGAATGCGGGACCCGCACAAATACCTGCAGCCGCACCACCCACACAGAGGAATGCGGGACCCTCACAAATACCTGCAGCCGCACCACCCACACAGAGGAATGCGGGACCCTCACAAATACCTGCAGCCGCACCACCCACACAGAGGAATGCGGGACCCTCACAAATACCTGCAGCCGCACCACCCACACAGAGGAATGCAGGACCCTCACAAATACCTGCAGCCGCACCACCCACACATAGGAATATGGGACCTGCACAAATACCTGCAGCCGCACCACCCATACAGAGGAATGCGGGACCCACAGGGTGGTATCATTCATTCTAATGGTGCGCTGCCCGCACTGGAAATCGCAATCGTTCTGGGAACCCCGGTCTGCGATTTCCAAAATAGTGCAAGGACTTCTTCCCTGCGTGTCCCGGGGCACAGGAGTCCATTCAAATGAATAGGCTCCTGTGCCCGCACAAATCAAAGGCCCACACGACCCCACAGATGTGAACCAGAGCTAAAACTGGAGCACTCAGAATCTGGTGCAGCTGTGCATGGCAGCCAATCAGCTTCTAACTTCAGCTTGTTCAGTTAGGCTTTGACAATAAAACCTGGAAGCTGATTGGTTTCTATGCAGAGCTGCACCAGATTTTGCACTCTCCAGTTTTAGTAAATCTCCCCCACCGATTGGAGCTTTTCCAGCGCTGAAGCAAGTACTCATGAGTAAAACACACAGCTCTGCCATTATAATAGCTCAAGTCCAGACAAAACTTTATTTCAGGCTTGAATAGAGTGGGAAAAGGGTTTTGTTTTTACTTTTTGTAAAAAAAATTTTCCCGTCTTGTGAACGTGTCCAACAAATCAGGAAGTCACCAAAATACAATATCTCTGCAACAGGGGCACAACAATGTTTTGAGTACAAAATGGTTTTTATTGCGGTTCGTGTCCCCATTTTGGGACATTTTTCCTCACTTCCTGTCCAGGTAACAGAACAGGAAGTCAGGGGGAATCCCCCACTGGAGGCACAGATACGTTTTACAATCAACCTCTCCCCAACCAGACCTATATAAAGTTTAGGCTTTGACTCTTTCCTAAACTCTGTGTATAAACTGTATGTATTCCGGCTTTAGGATTCTTTTTAAAACGTACGTCAAACCACAAATTTTTCTTTTTGGTTTTGGATGGAGCGGAGAAGAATTAGAACCCTTGCTTTGTTTTTGCTGCTATCCGGGGCTCCATTTTACCAGATGGGCAATGAGCAGAACTCTACCACGGGGACACAAACAGAATTTAAAATATTTATTTTTGTAGAATCCAAATTCAGCTTTTATTTCTACGTCTGATGAGGGTGCCAGACCAAAGGACTGAGTGCAAACATTTCTAATGAGTATTTGCTCATAATAAAGAGAACATTGAGAAAACAAAGCGTTTTGGGGGTTCAGAATCTCCCCCTTCATCAGGGTTTCTAAATCTGATAACTGGACTTAATAGAATAAAGCAGAACGTCACCCAAAAGGGGAAGTTCTGCTTGTTTGTATCCCCCCCCCCCCGCCACATTTGGCACTTATTGGGGTGGGGAGCAGGTACCCAATCCCACCTCTGGGTCAGATGTTCTGCCCCCCCCCCCCCTCCTCCCTCCTCCCTCTGCAGCCTTCTGGGACACTTCACAAGTTCTAGAAGACTGCGGGACCATTCGCAAAGTGCAGCGCGCTTCACGCATGCACAGTAGGAAACTGGCTGTGACGCTGCAAGGATTCGATGCCGGTTTCCCTTACTTAAGATTCCAGTACCAGCACCCAAAGCCCATTGAAGAATTGTCTCAGGTGAGGAGCTCAGGTGAGGACATCTCTGGACCCCCAAGACAGTTGACTGTTCTTGTATCATGCAGGCCATACATGGGTCAAATTCCGAATGATTCCGAACAATTTTTCGGAATCGCTCGGTAATCCGATGGCGCCATCAATGATTTAGAAAATCAGCCAACCAAGTCATAAAGATCACCCCATATAACAGGCGAAACCTCTGTTCCTTCCAGGTCACGGCTCATGCGCATATTCTTTTCGGAAAAACGATCGTACGATTTCACCATTGAGTCGAAAATTGATCGTTTTTCATGAATTTTCCAAAATGCCCGATCACCAAAAAGGGGAGGAACCACAAAATTCACCTGGTGCCATTGACCCACTAACAGAGCGAAAATCAGCCAACCAAGTCATAAAGTTCACCCCATATAACAGACGAAACTTCTGTTCCTTCCAGGTCACAGCTCATGCGCATATTCTTTTCAGAAAAACGATCATACGATTTGACCATTGAGTCGAAAATCGGTCATTTTTCACGAATTTTCCAACATGCTCGATCACCAAAAAGAGGAGGAACCACTAAAATCGGCCAATGCCATTGACCCACTAACAGAGTGAAAATCGGCCGATTATTCTTAGGTCCGGACAAAAAAGGTTTCGGACAAAAAATTGGTCGAATTTCGACCCATGTAAGGCCGGCATTAGTCCTCATGCACACTGGACGTTTTTACAGCGGCTGTTTTTGGCTTTTAACATTTTTTTTCTACAGCCAGTAAACCCCCCCAGCATGTTGTCCTATGTGTCCATGCACACATAGACTGGAATTAATGTCTTTTGGCTGGAAAAAAACCCAGGACTAGTGGGCTTCTAGAGGAGTATTTTAGCTGTAAAAACGCTCAAACGCGGTAAAATGCCGCAAACCCAAGTTTTTGGACTTTTTTTGACCAAAAAAAAAGTTTAAAAAACGCAAACACGGGAAAACTCCGCTAAACACTAATGCAATAATGCTAAAAAAAGCTGCAAAACTCACATTTTTACCCTCCCTGGCGGTAAAAATGGCTTGGGCTTGGGGTAAAGTTTCAGCACCACAAGCGGTAACCCCGAGCTACACTCGGACTTACCATGCGGCGCTGCTCTGGGATCTGTTCTTCTCTTACCTTGTCCTGTGCTCCCGCGATGTCCCCCCTGCAGTGTCCCCGGCAATGTTTTCGGCCGATGCCGGCATCTGTCATCTGGGTTCCGTTCCCTGCGACGACGGGACGTGCGGGGGACGGAACGGCGGGAAATTTGAAAATGACAAAAAGTGACATTCACTAAATTCACTGAAATCACATAGTATAACATTCCTGTATCAAACCATTTCACATACATTTTGTCCCGAGTGCTTTGTCCTGTCCCCTGCCTGCATTTTTACTGTTCTTTCTGCCTGGAAACTGAGAAAACGTCCATGGCGTCCAAAAAGCGTCCCTTTAGGCCAAAAGCGGTTTCAGACCAGCTAGAGAACAGCGATAGTAAATCAGAACCACTTGCAGAATTGAGTGATAATGATTCGTTGGGGAAATTCCTCATCAGACACTGAAAGCGATTTAGCGACTTTGCTCAGTGATGTGCGAACTTGGCGCTATATTTCAAGTTTCAGTGTTTTTGGTTTGATTATATTATTGAATTAAATTTATTATTATTATATTATTATTTTTTATGATTATTTATTAAATTATAATTTATGATTTTGTGTTTCAAATTTTATCATACCCGGGATGTTTAACAGACTCTTGTTCAGACAGATTTCAGTGAGTTATTCCTAAAAATTACAGGCCTACAATAAAAAAAATAGATATTTCCATTTAAAAAAAATGTACCGCTTTGAGCACAGAAATATGACATAATCAGACCGCTAGGGAGGTTAACGTGACTTTACACAGCTAACGTTCCCAGCGTTATCAAAACGTCCCGTGTGCATGAGGACTCAAAAGTCAGCAACTACAGTAATTGCAGCTGCTGAAATTTAATTTTTTTTTGGGGGGGAGCTCTGCTTTAAATTTAAAATAATTAAATCATAAAACTTTTAAAAGGAAATATTAAAATAAAATAAAGTGAATAAAATTTAATTAATTCGATAAAATAAAATAAATTGTTTTCCGTTTGTCAGCATATAATGCAGAGTGGTATATTAGCAGGTTGCATACTAGAAGCATGGCATGCGACCGTCTAATACTGCCAATAGCACCTTAGTCCTGTGAGAGCATTTGTAAGCCCTGATGAAGGAGAGTGTTTGAACCTCTGAAACGCGTTAGAGGTTCCATGTTGTCTATCTTATGAGCAAACACTAATTAAGTCTAGGTTCACATCTATGCGTTTTTCCACTGCGGTGTTGCATTTTGCAAAAATGCTCAGCAGTCCATTTAAGATGATTTCTTAGGGGACAGGTTCACATCTCCATGTTTTCACCCGTGCGTTTTTTGTTAAGGGTCAGGGACTTTTTAAATTGCAAAATGTTTCGTTTTTGGTTCTGTAGACTTCAATGGAGATGCTGCAGAAAAGCGTGCAGTGCTTTTTTATGTTTTTTGCATTATGCATTTTATTCTGCCCATCAACAAGTTAAAAAAAAAAAGCAAAATGTGCCAAAAACGCATGTGGAAAAAAGCAAAACACACTGCCAAAAAGCACTGCAGAAATGGATCAGACGCAAACTGCATAGGTGTGAAACTTGCCTAAGGGCTAGTTCACACTAGATGCAGTCCAGTGCGCTTTTTTTCTGCATCAAAAATTCATGCAGTGTTTTCCATGTATTCCAGCACAGAACCATACTGGAACATGGCAATCTGCATCAAAACTGCACCGGAACTGCGTGTGGTGTGAACTGTAAGCAAAATCATATCCAAAATGCATCCGGAGTGCGTTTTTGTAGTGTGAACTGAACTGGCCCTGGAAGATTTTGCCCTCCCTTTGTTGGATGCTCCAATAAAGTTGACACACATAAATTTCATGGAAATCCCCACTTAAGGGGTGTACTGTCATCCCTAATAATTCCATAAAAGGTTACACTGAAAAAAGTCTACTTACATTTATATCATTGTATTGATTCTTGAAATATTGATGATGACATTGTGATGATGTCATGTGATCTTGCAATGTAGTGAATGCCAGCAGTGTGCTGTCATGTGATTGGTCAGTGTACTGAATGATGGCAGTGTGATGTCATGTGATTGGTCAGTGTAGTGAATGCCGGCAGTGTGATGTCATGTGATTGGTCAGTGTACTGAATGATGGCAGTGAGATGTCATGTGATTGGTCAGTGTAGTGAATGCCGGCAGTGTGATGTCATGTGATTGGTCAGTGTACTGAATGATGGCAGTGTGATGTCATGTGATTGGTCAGTGTAGTGAATGCCTGCAGTGTGATGTCATGTGATTGTTCAGTGTAGTGAATGCCGGCAGTGTCATGTCATCTGATTGATCAGTGTAGTGAATGC